GGGTCTCCTGCATCTCTTGCATTGGCAGGCAGATTCTTTACCACTAAGCCACCTAGAATGTCATGTTTGGTTTAGTTGCTAAGTTGTGTCCAAATCATTGCAACCCCATGGACTATAGCCCACCAAGTATGTCATGTTTAATATATATTAAAAGACACTGGAACATATACATAAGTGATGAGACACAGTAATAGAATGGAGACCCTCCATCCCACTACCCCAATTAAGAACTAGAATGTTTGTATGTGTTAGTCGCTTAGTCATGTCTGACTCTTTGCAACCCCATGGACTGTGGCCCCCCAGGCTTCTCTGTCCTTGGAATTCTCTAGGCAAGAATACTGCAGTGGATTGCTATTCCCTTCCCGACCCAGGGGTCGAACCCTGCTCTCCTGCATCACAGGCAGATTCTTTACTGTTTGAGCTACAGGGAAGTCAAGAACTAGAACTAGAACTACAAGGAAGTCAAGAACTAGAATAGTGCCAGTATTAATATTAAATTTACCCTTTCCTTTCTTTCTAAAATTCCTAGTATGGAGTGTTTAATTCTGTCAAAACACTTATGTAGACTTGGGTGAACTGAAATAGACTAATACTGGATAATTCTGGAGCAGGTTGCCACTTCCTACTCCAGGGGATCTTCCTGACTCAGGGATCGAACCTGCTTCTCTTGCATCTCCTGCATTGGCATGTGGATTCTTTACTACTAGTGCCACCTGGAAAGCCCTAAAAGTGGTTATTCAGTCTTTAATTACATATTCCTAGTTATGCTGTTATTGAACAGCCCCCTTTTAGAAGAGTCTTCCTTATATTGAACTGGAATCTGTGTCCCATGACTTCCACCCATTATTCTTAGCTTTACCATTGGAAGGCACTGTGGTTAAGAGTGCAGATTCCAAGATACAGAGAGGATTAGCTTGGCCCCTGTGCAAGGATGACATGCAAATTCATGAAGCATTCCATATTTTATTAAGAAAGAAAAAAAAAAGTGAAAATTCCAGAATTGACTAGATCTAAGTTCAAAGCTTATTCATTTGCTGATTATGTGATCTCGGCATGTTACTTAGCTTCTTTGTACCTTAGTTTCATCTTCTGTAAAGTGGGAATAATAATACTATCCATTTTATAGGACAAGCTGGACCAGACCATAAATGATGGTCTGGGTTTGAGGACTGTTGAGGTTTGCTTTGAATTATTGTAACTTCTGTGTACTATCTGATCAATTCGGAATTACAGTACACTGTTGTTCAAAAACTGGAATTATAGTTTTTTTAGGTTTTTAAAGGATAGTCGTTTAGTTTTTCTTCAAGTAAAAGGGAGTAGGCAGTCCAGAGCTGGTATTTTTCTGCTCTGCCATTTTTAGTGGGTGGTTTCATGATTCAAGATGGCCACCACCATCAGAGTTCCAGACAGAAGACCCCAAAAGGGAGAGAGGGTACATGCCAATAGCCTTTCTTCTTTTTACAAAGCCTTCCTGTAAATCCTAATCAACAATGCTTACCTGTCATTGGACAGAGGTAAATCATGGGGCCATCCTTGGCTGTAAGGCAAACTGGGAAACGTAGTCTTTTAGCTAGAACATTACCATCCTAAATAAAATTAGGATTCTTACACCAAGAAAGAAGAGAAAAATGGGTATTAGATAGGCAGCTTGCAGTCCCTGCTACATAAATTAATCAAGCAGTAAGCAGTGCAAAGTGTATAGACATAACATAGAGTCAGGGTTCTCCAGAGAAACAGAACTAGTAGGATTCATTTTAAGGAATTAGCACATATGAGTTTGAAAGATGACAAATCTGAAATCTGCATGGAGGCCCAGCTGGAGACCCAGGGAAGAGCTGATGTTGCAGCTCAGAGTTCAAAGGCAGTCTGCTGGCAGAATCCTTTCTTGGGGGTAGGGAGCCTCAACCTTTCTCCCAAGACCTTCAACTAATTGGATGAGATTTCCCCTCCGCCCCCCACACTGATAGAGAGTAATCTGCTTTACTTAAAGTCTACTGAGTTAAATGTTAATCACATCTAAAAAACGCCTTGACAGAAGTCTCTAGACTGGTGCTTGACTGAGTACTGTGACCCAGCCAGACGGATCCACAAAATCAGCCATTACACATCCATTAAAGTTACAAACAGCTTTGGCAGCTCTGTGCCTCTGCTTCTAGTGGACTGAAGTGGACGTTAAGTCCAGTGAATCTACCAGCCCTGGAGGAGCTTCCCAGATCAGAAGAGCCCTGAGCCTTGGCTTGCCTTTTGCATCTTTTCTGGCTGGTGTGGTGGGGAAGTGTGGGTGGCGGGAGGGATGTTTGAAGTTCTGGGGTCACCTTGTTACCATGGAATGCAGCCTTTGTGTTAGTCACAAAACATTTACCTCCATGTTTTATTTCTTACTGAGTCCTAAGGTACCACAGGCCTAGTCGGAGCCCACTGAGAGTCACGCACGGGTTCTGTCAGCTCACTCACCCAGACCTCTCCCAGGCAGGGGCTCAGCACAGGGCAAGGCTCACCAAACTCCACCAAGAGTTCATTCCCATTCCTAACAAACATTGATTGTCACTCTCACACCCTCTCATAAGTATTTCTTCTCCTATACATACCTGGTTTCAGTCTTAGCACGTTATAACCTTGAATGTACATTGTCACACTGGCGGTGGGGTGGAGGTGGGTAGTGGTGATGGGAGGGTGGGAAATGGGACATGCTAGCGCACGTCCTCATTGTCACAGATGTTAGTGTGCAATGTAGCTAAATGCAGACTTTAAAGAGTGGAGTTTTATAAGTTGAATAATAAAAGCAGTTTGTTTATAAGCACATAAATAGCACTTGATAGAGGAAACAAACCCTGTGTTCACAGGGGCATTTCATTTGCGGGTGTACGGTTCCCTCCCACTTTTGACCTGAAGACGTCTGATCTGGTGACAGCTCATTCTGCTGACAACGCAAATGGAGCAAAGTCAGATCAGAGGAAGGGCGCGGGGGGAGGGTGGACTTGGTATTTATTATTTGGTGATACTCTGTAACTAAGCAGTAGCTTTACTGCACTTTTCCTCAAAGCCTCCAGATAGGAAATCCAGGTAGAACTGATAGGGTAGAGGCCGAAAGAGAGCACTATGATGCGCTGCAGTTATGTCTGGTGATTTCTTACATTTTTACTTAGGCTGGATAAGAGCATCTTGATTAATGGAGAGAAATAGTGGCAAGGGTTGGGTTGAAAGGAATGCATTTCACAACTGTCTCTCTCTCTATATATATATACATAATATATAATCTTCAATTTGAAACTTCCCTTGGTTTCCATAGCCCAGATACAGAAGGCCACCCAATTAGTTAAAAAGAAAAAAGGTTTGAAATCAGGGCTGGGTTGCTTTGTGTGAACTAAAATAGAGGAAATGGCTACAATTGCTTTGGCAGGGGTGTCCAACCCTAAATTAGACTAAAAAAGCCATCATATACCATCAGACAACTTAAAAAGATGTAATAAGGGAAATGCCTACTTTGCACATCTGTTAAGAACATCTGGCTTTGGCCTGAGCCCTGATAACCCTGACAGTTAGCTGGTGGCCCACAGATTAGAAAAAGAGGCAAACCCTCATCCTGTCAGGCTCGTCTGTAGAATTTCCTGGTGGAATAACCACCAAGCCCAAGACTGAAAAGAAGCTGGGGCATGGCCTGTGCCGAGCTCACATCCTGACTGCAACCTTGAAAGAGAGAGGCTTTTGGGGACTCGGGTGCTGGCCTCAGGACGCGGTTCCTCTGTACCTGGCCCCAGAAGGCCCTTCAGCATGAGCGTCGTGGGGAGGGGGCCAGTTAGGAGGCGGCATCCCTCAATCACAGCTCCATTTCTTTGGCGGTATGTGTGTGCTCAGTCTCTCAGGCCTGTCTGACTCTTTGTGACCTCATGGACCGTAGCCTCCCAGGCTCTTCTGTCCATGGGATTTTTGAGGCAAGAATGCTGGAGTGGGTTGCATGCCCTCCTTCAGGGGATGTTCCCAACCCTGGCAGTACTGGGTTGTTGAAGAGATGTGCCCTGTGGCAGGCTGCATTTTCCAAAGATGGCCACGATGACATCTCTCATCCCACATGCTAGTCCTCATCAAGAGGCAGAGTCTCACTTCCTTGCTCTTGAGTTTAAGCTGGCCACAGTGACATGCTTGCAGCCAGTAATGTGTCTTGGAGATGGTGACTTCCGAGGTTAGGCTTGGAAGGCCATGCAGCTACCCCTGAGCTTTCTCAGAAGGCTTGCTTTCTGGACATCCCTCCTTTGGTGTTCTATCTCAAAGCCAGCTGCCACGCTGTGGGAAACCCCAGTCACAGGAGAAGGCCACATGCACGTGCTCCTATTGACAGTCCCAGTGGAGGCTGGCCTTTGAGTCCTTTCAACTAGATCCCAGACATGTAAGGAAGGAAGCCTGCAGGTGATTCCAGCTCCCAAATGAGTTTCGCAGCTGAGACCCCAGACATCATGAAACAGAGACAATACACCCCTACTCTGCCCCATCCAAATTCCTGACCCCACGCATCTGTGAGCACAATAAAATGGCTGTTATACTGATGAGGATCTTACCAGGTGGTGCTAGTGGTAAAGCACCCACCTGCCAAAGCAAGAGACAAAAGAGATGTGGGTTTGATCCCTGGGTCAGGAAGATGCCCTGGAGGAGGAAATGGAAACTCATTCGGGTATTCTTGCCTGGAGAATCCCAAGGACAGAGGAGCCTGGCCGGCTGCAGAACATAGGGTCACACAGAGTCGGAACCAAAGGAGGTTTCCAGTTGAAGATATATATCATTCACTAGGTTTGGGGTAGTTCATTATATAGCAATAGTCAATCATAGCATGTCCGTAAGACACACTTCTGGAGGAATCTAAATGCTATTAATCAGCACAACCCATTTGCTCTACCCCCCTCCTCAACCCCAGGATCCTTCTAGGCATGCCCAGCACTATGTTATACAAAGTACGCTTTTGTAAGAGAAGTAGAGGGCTACCACTTGTTGCTTTTTCGTAGGAGCGGAAAAGGATGCCCATTCCTCTGGGACAGTGTGGGTCTGCCCCACAGCACAAGCCTGGCAGGCCAAGTGCACACTCTTAACCTGGTGATATCTTGCGCTGTACCCAGCAGCCCTGGAGAAGTGTAAAAGTAAGTCTCTCCTAAGGAATTTACATTGTTATTGATATAAAATATGTGTATTTTATAAAAGGAAAGTGTCAAATGCTAAATCATGTGCTAACACTGATTAGAAAAAGTTTTGTGCCCCGTGGACTGCCCACCAGGCTCCTCTGTCCATGGAATTCTCCAGGTAAGAATACTAGAAGGATTGCCATTCTCTTCTCCAGGGGATCTTCCTGACCCAGGGACCGAGCCTGGGTCTCCTGTATTTAGGCAGATTCTTTGCCATTTGAGCTCTAGTGGAAGCCCATAGAAAGAAGCACTTAACTTTTAAATAGAAGATCTGGGTAGAAGCACTGGGCTCAGGTTACGTTCTGCTACTGACCAGTATTCAAGGCCTTGCTTGGTGTCTGGGAACAGGTGCCTGGGTTCTTTGGACTTTGGTGTCTTTCACCTGGGTAGTAAGAAGTGGCTCTTAAGTGGTCACTGTCAGATATTCCCCACTTATGGCAGAGCTGGGTCTAAAGACTTAGAATTACTGCCAAAACCTGGACTCAATAACTCATATGCACATTTTATTTGTTCATATGGCTTGGTTCTTAGGAGAAAAAAAAAATCACCTTAGTAGAAAAGTCTTCCCCAACCACCATCTTTAAAATATCAGAGCTCCGTGACCACTACTATTCCCTCTCTGTGGTGGATTAGGGAGGGCCACATGTTCTTTGATCCCCCTCCTGTGGAGAGACAGGGTCTCTGTCACTTACATGTAGGCAGGTCCTGTGGTTTCTTTGAGCAACAGAATATGGCAGATGTGGTGCTGGGACAGTTTCCAGGCCCAGGCCTTAGGAGACTGACAGTTTCTACTTCCTGCCTCTTAGAACAGTTTCTCTGGGAGTCCTGGATTTGATTACCTGAGGCTGCCATGCTGAAGTAACGTGGAGGCATTCCACTCAAGAGTTCCAGCTTGATCCAGGCTTCTGGTCACCCCCACTAAGGCCCCAGACACTCTGGACCTTCAAGACTAGTCCATCTGCCAGGTGATGTCACTGGCTAGAAGGTTCCCCCATCTGGGCCCTGTCTAGTCCGCAAAATTATGAGATGTAGTAGAACAGTTCTTATTCCAAGCCACTAAGTCTTGAGTTGGTTTATTACACAGCATTCCAGGTATCTGGAACACAACCCCTCCTCAGTCTGCTTTGTTTTCCTTACCTCCAGTGGTGTCCTGGATCTGGCTCATACTGGCTTGTGAGAACAGATGACAAAATTTTCAGGAGTTCTGTGAGCTAGTTATTAAGCAAAGCCATCACTAAAAATTAAATAGTTCAAATTACAATGAAATTAGTTATATTAAAAACAAAAGTAATAGATCCTCAAAACTCACAACTTCCTAGTTCTTTTCCTATGTTTTACTCTCATCTGTGCTTTGAGGGTATATCGCTTGTGCCTGCCTATGGTGGGGCTACTCTGCAATAGTGCATTACAGCTCATCTCCTCCCAAGTCCGTGGTCAGGGATATCACACTGAGAGCTTGAAAGTCAACGTGCGTGTCTGCTAAGTCGCTTCAGTCATGTCTGACTCTGTGACCCCATGGGCTGTCACTGTAGTGTGGTATAAATACCACAGAAATTGTCAAATGTCTTTCAGAGAGTTGGTTGTTAAATATGTCTGAGTTTGCCATTACTGCTGTTCACTGTACTTATAACCAACAGATATCTTAGGTATTTTACTGAGTATTTCTTTATTGTTTCCTTCCTCAGTGGAATGTAAGCTTCCTGAGAAGAGGAACTTCGTCTTTTTTTTGTTCACCGTTGTCCCCCCAGAACCTCAGAAAGCATCGAGCACAGAGGAGGCATTCAATAAATATTTTGCATGAAGGCATTCTGCTCTGTAGCACATGTGTAGTGAAATTCATAGGGCGTTTGCCACATCCTCCTCTCTGGAGACCTACTGGCATCACACTCAGCAGCTGTGTGATCTGACATGCTGGCCACAGACTCATACTTCAAGCTAGACCAGTGAACATCCCTTAACCACACATTTGGAGTTCAGTGAGGGGATCCAAGATGAAGTGGGTGTGTGAGGATGAGGGAGTGTGAGCACAGGCCAGCAGTTGTGGAATGACAGGTACTGTAAAACTTGCGAGCCTGCAAGCTATTGATGCCCTTTTCCTGTTCATCATGGGGACTGAGTAGCAAAGAAAACTCTTCTTCCAAGAAGAAGCCATTTCTCAGAGAGACACAGTGATGAGTGACGGCTGCTTCTGAGGACTCATGTATTCTCAACCTTGGGTCTCCCTGTATTATAAAATGTTCTCTTGGTGGGCATCCACTATCTTAAATTGATTTCTGTAACCCAAAACACCCTAACAAACACAATCTCCATGTTTGTTTTAATATGATCTTTTAAATTATCGAAAAAAAATCACCATGGGTCTCTCTCTGGGTCCTTTTGGTAGTCTTGGAAGGGTAAGTCATGTTTAATCTCTATGGTCTGAAAACACGTACATGAGGTTTGTTGTTTTCAGTCACTAAGTCTTGTCCAATTCTTTGCAACCCCCATTGACAGCAGAACAGACTTCTCAGGGATTTCTAGTGGTAAAGAACCCAGCTGCCAATGCAGGGCTAAGATAAAGGATAATAATAAGAGAGATAAGAGATGCGGGTTCAATCCCTGAGTTGGGAAGATCCCCTGGAGGAGGGCATGGCAAACCACTCCAGTGTTCTTGCTTGGAGAATCCCATGGTCAGGGGAGCCTAGAAGGCTCTGGTCTGTGGGGTTACAGAAGAGTTGGACACAACTGAAGTGACTTAGCATGCATGCATGGACTACAGCACCCTAGGCTTCCCTGTCTTTCACTATCTCCTGGAGTCTGCTTAAATTCATATCCATTGAGTTGGTGATGCTATTCAACCATCTCATCCTTTTGGCCTCCAGTAATTTGTCTTCTCAGTCACAATATGTTGGAAATTATGTAAAAGCTATGACAAACCTAGACAGTGTATTGAAAAACAGAGACATCTCTTTGCTGACAAAGGTCTGTATAGTCAAAGCTACGGTTTTTCCAGCAGTCATGTACGGATGTGAGAGTTGGACCATAAAGAAGGCTGAGCACCGAAGAACTGATGCTTTCAAACCGTGGCTCTGGAGTAGACTCTAGAGAGTCCCTTGGACAGCAAGGAGATCAAACCAGTCAATCCTAAAGGAAATCAACACTGAATTCATTGAAAGGACTGATGCTGAAGCTAACACTTTGGCCACCTGATGCGAAGAGCCAACTCACTGGAAAAGACCCTGATGCTGGGAAAGATTCTTCAATCAGGAGGAGAAGGAGGAGACAGAGGATGAAATGGTTGGATGGCATCAATGACTGAATGGATACGAGTTTTACCAAACTTTGGGAGATAGTGAAGGACAGGGAAGCCTGGCGTGCTGCAGTCCATGGAGTCACAAAGAGTTGGACACAGTTGAGTGCCTGAACAACAACAAAGGTTAAAAATACTTGTGGGTTGAAACAGAAACAGTTTCCTTTTGCATCAGTTTACAGTTTATATTAGGGCCATGACTATGGAAAAGATACTAGGAACTGACGTGTGCAGGTCCACACCGGAGAGAGTTTCATGCAACTATTTTTTATTATATGATCAGTTTTAGGCATAAGGAAAGTCTGATTTGGGACAGTCTTTTTTACTGTGTCAGAGAAATCCTTGTCTAAGGACTTTTTCATGAATAAAGATGATTCGTGGTGTTATTCTATATTTTGCCACTTAACCTGAAATTTTTATCACAGGTAAATGACATGAAGGTCTTCTATGACTTGTATTCCCCACAAGCAACACTTTATGGGTTTTTAGATTTCATTTTCTTCACAACAGCCTACTTCTATGCAGGGAGCACATTAATCCTTTGATCATCCACTTGACCATGAAGAGTGTTTAGTCTCCATGTTTGCTAAGTGAGCCTATTTGGGGAGGCAGTTTCATGATTAGTTGAACACTGAATTCATTCACCCTACTTGGGTTTTTCCTCTTTGTTTTGATGTTGTTGTTGTTGTCGTTTTTTCCTTCATGAAGAAACAAAACAATTCAATTCTGAATTTGTATTCTGGTGGCAACTTTTCTTGGTTTTGTCAGCCTATGTTTTCAAAACNGTTGTCGTTTTTTCCTTCATGAAGAAACAAAACAATTCAATTCTGAATTTGTATTCTGGTGGCAACTTTTCTTGGTTTTGTCAGCCTATGTTTTCAAAACGAGGGTTTTCAAAGCTACTGCCCATTTCAGCACCATTTTGTCTAAACTGACTAGTAGCCAAACAATTTTGCTGTTTTTGTTACCTATTTGTTAAATCATTTAAATTTATGTTTCATCCCTCACTGAAGTCAGGGAAAAAAGGAAAGCACTTTGAATTGAGCCCCTGCTGGTGAGTTAAAGAGCGGTTCCCCTTCACTCAAGCTACCTGCCACGGTTCCCCTTCACTCAAGCTACCTGCCACGTCTTTTTTTACTCCTTTAACTTAAAGGCAGGAGGAGAAGGGGACGACAGAGGATGAAATGGTTGGATGGCCTCACCGACTCAATCGACATGAGTCTGAGCAAGCTCCAGGAGATAGTGAAGTACAGGGAAGCCTGGCTGTCTGTGGGGTCGCAAGGAGTTGAACACGACTGAGCAAATGAACAACAACTTAAAACAGATTGGCTGCCTTCTTCACATGAGCTGCACCCTCCAGCATCATTCTGAAACTCACCTTGAAGAAAGCTTTGAGCAACTCCTCACTTACTTTACTTGGTTTTCCTTGTGCCGTTCTGAGTTGAGACACCTCTCTTTTTAGGTGCCAAAAACTCCACTGCTTTTTCTTCAAAATATACACAATTATTAAAGATACTTGAAAATATACACAGCCAAGTGACATAAATACTTGTCCTCAACACATAGATTTAACAAATATTTACATTTTGCCATAATTGCTCTAGGTCCTTTTTCTTACAGAAATTGAATATTACAAATGGAAAGAAAGCGCCTTTTGCAGCCCTGTCTTTCCAGTGTCTCTCTCTTCCTCATGACTGATTTTCAGATGTCACTATAAGAGTGATGGCTTCATGTGTTATATTCCTCAGGGCTTTCCCAACTGAGAGGCACTGTGATTTAGGCCCATTTACATCTTGACAATAACAGAGTCCATATTTGAAATGAGTATCCAGGTGCATATCCTGTGCTTTGTAGAGTGACAATTGCATCTATGCTTTGTAGAGTGACTCACTGTGATGTCACCAAAAACCTTGGCTTTCTCTGTCCACCAAAACCAAATAAAAAATACAGAGACAGAGTTTGGAGGAAATAGAAAGGTGGCTTTTAATCATCAGCCAACGGAGGGGAGACTGTGCCCCCCCACTTCCATGAGGAATTGGGGGATATACAGATGAGGGCTTGCAGTCAGGGGTTGGTGATGAGGAGCAAACATATAAGGATCTTATATTCTTCTTCCTCTAACATTGTTTTAAAAACAGTCATAGACTTGCATCAGGGAGCTTGGTAGTTAGGTCCATTGTCTTTCTTGAACTGTACTGTGGCCTCCTTTCTGTAACATAAAAGGAAAGGAGAAGCACTAAAAGGTATGTGTGTGTGCTAAGTCGCTTCAGTTGTGTCCGATTTTTCTCGACCCCATGGACTGTAGCCTGCCAGGCTCCTCTGTCCATGGGATTCCCCAGGCAAAAATACTGGAATAGGTTGTCATTTCCTCCTCCAAGGGATCTTCCCAACCCACGGAATGTCTCCTGCATTAGCCGCTGGGTTCTTTACCACTAGCGCCACCTGGGAAGCGCCAAGTGGTCTGCAAAGAGAGTGCTAGAAAAGTGAGCACCAAACACGGGATGTGATTATCATATTGGGTTAATCTTTATTAGTCTTTAGACTACAGATCAGGAACAGTTAAAGTAAAAAATGTTCAGAAAAGGGCAAGAGAGAAAAGAAAAGATTTCCCTCTTTTTTACTGCAACCACTGCAGTGGGGACTGAGCTACTGTCGTTTCCCAACTGAAAATTACCACCCTTTTAATAAGGTCAATGAAGAATGGCACTGAAAGTTACAAAACCAAGAATATCTGGGACCTCTGCATTCAAGGAGATTCCAGAGACACTCTGGTGATTCAGCAAGGGGGAAAGAGCCAAAAGCTAAATCCCCTGATTCCCATAGATGTGTCCTCCCACATAGACGAATAGGTGGTTCTGTTTCACTCTCAGATCTGACCTGCACGAGGCAGCCTAAGTACTCACTTTCAAGAAGGTGGCTCCCATTTAAGACAAATGGAGATTCTGGAGAAAAATTGCAGACAGCCTGCCAGAGGGAATAATCTGTCTCCAAGTTGGCATCTCCCAAGTGTCTGATTCTAAAGCTATAAAACATGAAAAGTGTGTGGGAAACAGGCAAGCTAATTCCAATGGTGCATGTCTGAGCTGTCCAATACTTGCTGACTTCAAGAGGCCTTTGTACCAGGAGACAACTTGCCCTTCACCACATAGCACGTGGCCTCAAGGACAGGCCCTTCCAGGGTCCCAGTCACTTGTCATCTGGGTGATTCCAGCCTTTGCCAGCTTTTGTGTGGGGCTGAGTCAGAGGAACTCATAACAATAATAGCAAACATCATAGAAAGCTTAGCATGTGCCTGGCACTGCCAGAGAGGGTTTATATGCTTTATTTTGTTTAATCCTCATGGCAGCCCTTTAGGGCAGGTCCTCTGGCCCTGAGGTCACACAGGAATGAGCTGGAAGGGAAGCAGTGTGACCTGGAACTTGGGGCCCTGTGGCGATGCTGCTGTGTTCCTCTCCACCCAGCTCTCATCCAATTACCATAAAACCACCTCGGCAGCCAGACACTTCTAATAGCTAAGTGTCTAGCAAAGGCTGCATTGTCTTTGGAGCCTTAAACACAGCCCTTTTAATTGGAATTGCTTCCTCATTCAGCTTCATATATCTTCTCTCCTCCCACACAAAAGAATCCATTGTATTGGTCTCAGGAACAAACTGGATGCTCCTTTGATATACTTTGCATGTAAATGTAAGGAACAAGACTCATCTGATTTCATTATATCCTTTATTGATGTGCCTGCAGCATTTTATTGTAGGTTTTTGTGACTAGAATTTCTAACAAAGGAGGGAGTGGGCTTCCAGGCTGGCAGCTCAGTAGAGAGAGGATTTACCACATCTGGCTCTAAAGGGACGCTTACTCGTGGCTGTTGTCATTCCTAAGCTTTTAAAAGGGCTGGATGTTTCAGGAGCTGCTGCTATTCTCTGACTGTAAAAGTGTTATCAAGCATGAGACGAATGTGCCTTGCCACTGAAGGGGTGGGGGTGGGGGACTTTTTGAACCTGCCTGAAAAGAGGCAGGATGACATGGTAACACTGGGGGAAATAAATGCGCTCGCATGCCAGGACTGACAGAGCTGGTACCTAATCCTTCATACCTGCAATGACAGGCTCCTGGGACTACAGAATGGGGTTAATTATTCCCAACATTCTTCATTATAATTCTAAATGAGATAATGATTAGAAATAGTACCTAGTCATTGAACTGTAAATGCCTGAGGCATTCTCTTGCTGGAGAAACTAGCATTTTTTTCCTATGGTGTGTTAATTCCTTCAGCACTTTTTTTTTTTTTTTGAGGTTTAGTTGGTCTTTTAAGTAACTGGAGCCTCTACAACTCTGTTGTGCCAAATAGAAACAGTTAACAGTGGCTAAAAGCTGACTAAGCACCAGGTTCTTTATTGTGTTATTGCATTTAATCCTCACAGCAGTCTTCTGAAATTGGGATTTTATTATTTCCATTGTATAGGGAAGAGATGGCAGGGAGTGACTAAGTGCCTTCACTGGTGGTACAGCTAGTAGGCTGAGGTTTTAGGACTTGAATCCATGGAGTCACACTGCAAAATGTAAGACACTTGTCTCCTAAGACATAGAGTTTTCTTCCTTTAACACCTGGTTTAGAGGTCTATCCTTATCTCATCTAGAAGTGTCCGGGGTCTAAAGCCTTCCTGATGACACCACTTCAGCCTTCTCTTTGTCAATGCTCCAGTTTAATCTGTTCATTCTATCTTTTAACAAGGCACATCTAAGACTAGCCCCCCATCAGCCAAAGTTTTGTTCTCTGAAGAAAAAACAACCATTCAATATGAAAGCTGTGAGTTCAATCTTATTTGGAGTTACTAAGGAATATAGCCCAGGAGAAAACCTCGCAGATAATTCTGAGGAACTGTTTCAAATAGGCAGGAGGTGAGGTCAGCACATACATGATTCTGGTGAAGGGGGTAAGTATAATCTAGCACACATCTCAGTAGAAGTCTGCTGCTAGTCACGAGGAGCAAATGTCTCTGTTAATTAGTTTAGTGCTCTCCTAGGCATAAGAAGATGAGACAAGAAAATGGCAACCTACTCCAGTATCCTTGCCTGGGAAATCCCATGGACAGAGGAATCTGGCGGGCTATAGTTCATGGAGTCGCAAAGAGTCTGGCATGACTGAGCGACTCAACAACAGCAAACAAGGGATAAGAAGATACAAGAAATTGGGTGCATGAAATTTTTCTTGACTATTTATTTGAAGGCCTGTTCTGCCAGTTTTTCCCAAAGACAGAGTGCCTCAGCCAGATTTCCACCCTAACTCTTTTCAAGATGTGTTAAGTAAAGATCAGCGACAGGACTGCTGCGGCTAGTGACTTCATTTTGTAGAACCAGATGGAGAACCACATTCTTTAGATTGTAGTTTCTTTTTTTTTTTAATTTTTTTATTTTTTTATTAGTTGGAGGCTTAGATTGTAGTTTCTATGGGCACTGCACTCCATGAAAACTAATTGAATGTAGTTTTTTAAAATCAGTTCTTCACTATAAAAAAAAAGTGTTGGTATACAAAAGTACTTATCACTACAACAGAAGTCTTAGCTTGCCTAATTATATATACTACTAAAAGCTAAATTTGCTTTACTTAGACTTACCATAGCATTCCTTCAAATACTGAGCTCCCTTATGCATTTAAAGTGAGATTCAGTTGATGACAAAATTGATTCAAAGCTTTTTAAGAATGAATGCATAAAGAAAGCAACCTGCTTCAAATAAATTCTTTCATATATATTCATATATTTCCTTTAACCTAGAAGCTCCATTGTGAAACAGGGTTAAAGGTTTTTCTAGGCGTCCACACATCAGTGGAGTGCAATTCTCTTCCTGTTTTCTTTCATTCCATTTCTAAATTGAGTATCAGAGTGATAGAAAGTCAGTCATCAGATAATACCTCTCAATAATTCCAGAACTCACACACTGCTTTCTTTTACCATTCTTTGAAAAAATATCTCATGATTTTCTAACTAATTAAAGAGTTAGTGAGAGCACAGTAGGGTCTAAATACTGTTATCTTTCAAAGACACAGCCAAAGAGTCAGAATCACTGACAAGTTCACACCCAGCACTTTGGAGGATAATCAATAACCTTGAGATTATGTTTCTGGTTTGTTTTTTTTTTTAGCTCTGCAAAAAGAAGTTTGACTCAAATAGCAAACCAGTGATGATTATGGATGAGATTCAGATGATAATCAAGTGAGTGGTGGCTTTTATTTCAAATCTAAAAAGCAGTTTATTAGTGCTTTTCTCGCTCATATTTCCCTGTCAAGTAGGCAGTCCCATGCTGGGGCTCCTAGCAGCTGAGCAGTTGTAGTTAGCTTTAATTATCATGTAGTTTATGACTTCCTTGGTAGGTTGGGTTCCCCATTTGGTCCTCACCCCTAATTTTCTACCCCTCTCTATTAAGTTATCTATCACTATATGGCAAATTACCAGAAACTCAATGCCTTAAAACAGCATACATTTAGGATCTTACAGGCACTGCATAGCTGACTTCTCTGCTCAGTTTCACAAAGCTGAAATTAAGGTGCCCTCTGAGGTTAAGGTCTCATCTGAAGCTTAGAATCCTCTTCCAGATACATACAATTATTGGAAGTTCATTTTCTTGCAACTATAGAATTCATGACCACTTGCTTCTGCAAAGCCAGCATCTCTAAACTCTAGGCTCTCTTTTAAGGAGCTCACCTGGTTTGGTCAGGCCCACCTAGGATAATCTCTTTTTGATTAGTTTGAAGTCCACTGATTATATCTGAAAAAAATCGCTTCATTTTTGCCATATAACAATAACCATAGGAGTGCTGTCCCATTGCCTTTGCCATATTACACTGGTTAGAAGCACATTACAAGTCCCACTGACACTCAAGGGTGTGGTTCAAAGGGGGGTCATTTTAAATTCTTCCTATCACATTCACTTTCTGGATAAGAACAGAAATGAGGTTCATGAGCGCCCACTAGCCACTCTTTCATGCATTCAGGGCAATTTAATGTAGGGTAATACTAAAGAAAATGTCTTATGTCACCTATTTACATCATTGAATCATATCTCAAAGTCAAAGATCTCTATTTTGAGAGTTTAAGGGTTTTCCCTCATTGGGCAACTTTGACATTAATGTGACTTTAGATCCACTGGAGGTGAAAGGTGGGTGTGGTCATTTTGGATGTTTAGTTATTCCTTTCTAGGGGCTATCTGGAGAAGGAAATGGCAACCCACTCCAGTATTCTTGTCTGGAGAATCCCATGGACCGAGGAGCCCGGCAGGCTATAGTCCATGGGGTCACAAGAGTCAGAAACGACTTAGCGACTAAAGAGAGAGGGGGCGGATATCAGGGAGCAAAGAAAGCTGGGTTTATTAGCAGGACTTTTCTTCAACCTCAAATGGAAAAGCAAAGGTGTTTTGGGATAAAATCAATCCTTAGTCAAGTAGACTAAAGAGTGTCATTCAAAGAGCAAGTGACATGTGGGTCAGTAGATTTTGTAGAACTCACGATTCTAAAATGTCGATTTGGAGATGTACTATTTGTTTTTTTTTTTCCCATTTATTTTTATTAGTTGGAGGCTAATTACTTTACAACATTGCAGTGGTTTTTGTCATACATTGAAATGAATTAGCCATGGATTTACATGTATTCCCCATCCCGGTCCGGAGACGTACTATTTGGAAGAGAGAATTAGAGGAGTACTCACATGTCTGTGTGCACATGTATGCATGTATATTTACATTTTTCACACTTTCTCATTGCTCTTCAAATATGACCCTAAAATAACAACAATACCAATCAGTTATTGAGAATAATCATGTTCTAGCCATCTTACATGCAATATCGCTTATCTAATATTGTTAATGTAATACAGATAATGTCGGGCTTCCCCGACATTTGAAATTTACATAAGATTGATTTGCATGTCCTAATTATCTGTGGAAATCCAATTTTCTCACCAAGATTGGGATAGATTCTTCTGGTCACTGCCAGCTCTGATATCATGTTCCTACTGAATTCTCACTCTCATTGATATCTAGCCTTTGGAGCTTTCCCTTGTCTGTCCCACAGACCCATGGACCCCCAAGGAGAACACAGGTCCAACAGGACTGGCTACATAATTTGTAAGATCCAGTGCAAGAGGAAAATAAGGAGGCACTTGGTCAAAAAGATTTAAGAATGTCAAGATGGTGACAGAACATTAAACCAAGCATGTGGCCCTTCTAAGCTTGGGGGTATGACTGTACATGTCATGTGTCCATGAAGGTAGTACTGTCCTAGAATTTCCGCAAGTAGCACCCCTACAAAGCAGTAAAGTGAATTACACATTTCTTAGAGTGCCTAGGGTAATAACAGAAGAGCATTGCCTCTAGGGATCACAGCAGCTCACAGCGAGAGAACCTCAGAATAAATAGTTCCTTCAAATTTCTGTCCATATCTACTAAAATTTAGCTTATCTATAATTTCCTCTTTTTTCCCCTGATATCTTTCTAAACCATGGCCCATACCCAGGCTGCTCATCAAGGCATTCTACTGGGCAAAATTTGACCTATTCCTAAGAGAAATTGTCTCCTTCCCTAGGAATGGAAGTAGGAATAGCTGTATTTTAAACAGCAAATTATTCTCTTTTTGTGCATGTTACTATTAATATCATTCTCATTTTACAGTTAAGAAGCCCTGATGCTCAAGAGAACAAAGCGGGTGAAATGATATCTGGCTTCAATGCTTACATTCCTTCCACTATGCTTGCTGCTCTCTAAATCTGGAAGGGTTTGTGAGAAGTTACAAATTAGTCCCAGAATGTGCCAAGACTATCTCTATGGGATGCAGCCTGGTATAAATCTTTCAGTGGCTTCACCAGAACCAAACAGTTCGGACTGTTGTAGTCAGATTATCATGTGAAGCAAGGTCAGCCAGAGGGCTACCATGGAAGAAGGTTAGACTATGCCCCTCTTCCTTTCCTGGGTAATGTGGGATTTAAGGACTGTTTAAGACCCCTTTATTCATCTCCTTATAGAACTGGAGACCATCATTATTACCCTTATGGTCTATGTACAGTGAAAAACAGAGCTATCCTCTTGGGACTGTCAGAGCCACTCTTGTTACTGAATTTCCCTCTTTCTGTACAAGGGAGGAAGAATCCTCCAGTGTGTGGCAGACATCCTTGGAGGCATTCTGTCCATCATTGTTGTGGTCCATGTACTGTGGCTAGTCCATCACTCAGTCTTAGGATAACCAAATTCAAAGCCACATGAGCCATCAAACCATCTGTGTATTTAAGCAGGGTATGTGTGAATGTGCTACAGTCCACTTTTGGGGCTAAATTTCAGTATGAAATGCTGCCTTATGAATAGACTGGATTACATAAGTTGTCACCCAAATGTATATTCATTAACCAACCAATTAGTTTTATTATGGTAAACCTATAAAGTCTGTTCAGAAAATATTTTCAAAAAAGAAATTATTTCTATAGAATAAAAATAATATATCAATGTACATTAAGAAAAATATTGTTACTTATATTTCTAAACTTTGAAAATGATACAATCTAAGTAATTCGTCTTAGTATATGCTAATGTGCTTTCATTAGTTTCATAGTATTCTGTCTAATAACCATGCTGACTGTATTTTTCTGATGAATATTTTTTCAAAACGGTCTTATTAAATTAAATAGCCACAGACAAAATGGTCAAAATCATCTTAAAGATTACATTTTAAGGTTAATAAATTTTAAAATTGTTAACACCTTCAACTGGCTTTTGTTTGAGAAAATACTCTCTACAAATGCTGAGGCACTTGTTAAGCTCAGAGCAAGCAAGTTCTGCTAAGTAAAATAAATTTACAATTTAAATTTTTAATTCAACTTTTAAAATTTAATATTTCAGCCCATGTATTTTCACAAAGACTATCTTTTTGTCACTATTTAGTTTATTTCAACAAATAATTTTAAAAGTAAAAACTCATTAAAGTTTTCTTGATTTACAAATAGAGTGCCAAATTTAAATGCCACTAAACTGTAGACCTTCTCAAATTTCCTTCCATTCTGTAAATATAAATTTATCCTGTTAAAAATAGGAATTTTTATCAAAATATACCTCCTACAAGATGAGATATTTCCAAATACAATTACAGAGTTTCAAATCATACCTGGGCATTATTTGAACTCTCCTTTCTGGGTTGTTGACTTTCTCACTTGGCTGTATAGGAGACACGTCAATATGTTTTTATTTGTCACCTTTGTTTCTAGTAATTGCAATTTCATTAAACTTTAGAATCTGAACTATTTGGCATTCCATTCAATAAATACGTCAATATTTTCAACTAATTTTCAATGAAATGGAGACCAAATGTAAAAAAGTTGTTTACAAAAATGTAGACAGGAAGGCGAGAAAGCATGTCGTGCCATGCTGGTCTGATGTAGAGTCTTCAGTATCAGGCGTGTAGCTCAGCACCGCTATGTGCTCTTATTTAGTCATTAAGTCATGTCCGACTCTTTGCAACCCTGTGGAGTGTATAACCCACCAGACTCTTCTGTCCATGGGATTTTCCAGGCAGGAACACTGGAGTGGGTTGCCATTTCCTTCTCCGGGGAATCTTCCTGACCCAGGGATCAAACCCGTGTTTCCTCCATTGGCAGGCGAATTCTTTACCACTGGGCCACCATGGAAGACCAATGATATGTATAGGTAATTTTATTTGTCTGTTTTGTGAATTGAATCTTCTTTTATTTGGATACAACTATAAATTATATGGGGCTTCCCTGGTGGCTCAGATGATAAAGAATCTACCTGCCAATGCAGGAGATGCAGGTTTGATCCCTGGGTTGGGAAGATCTCCTGGAGGAGGGCATGGCAACTCTCTCCAGTATTCCTGCCTGGAGAATCCCCATGGACAGAGGAGCCTGGTGGGCTACAGTCCATGGGTTCGCAAAGAGTTGGGTATGACTGAGAAACTAAGAGTAGCACAGCATAAATTATATGAGCACTACACTAATTCTTACACATTTCTGTTTCATCACAGAACACTTTACCATGATGTTCTACTCCATCAAAACTCAAATTATTGTCACCAAAATTTTTAATTTTAAATGTCAAAGTTTTAAACAGAATTTTCAGTATCATTCAAAACAATATTAGGAATGGAGGAATCAACATCTAAAACATCTACTTTGATTACATGAATTGGATCAAAAACATTGAACCAATGTTGCAATTAAAATATTTCTCTATTTGAAGTAAATGATGACACTAACATAAAACTGGTGGTTTTACTTTTTCCATGTACAGAAGAAAACTTGAAATTGAAAACATATTAAAATGTATTTAGAAGAACCATCATTTGATTTAAACATGATATAAACACATACTTCACATACTGAGTGAGTGTAAATGTACCTTCTGAAGCTTTAGTGGCTAACTTTCTTTCCCAGTGCATTCTTCTTAAAATAACTAGTAAGCATGGATACTGATGCTTCCTCAGTATATTTAGTCTTCTGGCTCTTATATGGTCAGTGATGTCACTGTGACCCCCATGGAGAATGATAAATGTCAATAAATGCTTCATCTAAGAAACATGTTCTTCATGAACTTTCTTGGATGCTTAGTACTTAATTTTTCCACTAAATATGCTCCTTCAGTCCTACTTAATTCATTGCTGTCAATGAATATTGCAGTATAGACATGTTATCAATAAAATAAATAGTTGTAGATTTACAATAAGTGGCCAAACTACCATGTAAGAACTTAATTTCTAGACCTTCTCACATATGTTACAGTAGTATGCCTCTATGTCTTAAGTTTCCACCAACCCCAGCATCTCTCTGGCTCTGCCGCAGGTCTCTTAAATCTACTTCAGCTTATTTTAATGCAGCAATTGCTAACTATACTTTGCTTAAAAATGAAAAATTCTGAAAAAAAAAATACTAAAGCACATAGATACTGGACAACAGGCATAAACCATGACAGTCCCAAGCAAAATGAAACATAGAGACATCCTTCAGATGAGGAACACAAGCTCTGCTCATCAATATTATAGGATCTATCCTTAAACCTTGTACACTGTTCATGTTCTTGTAATGTGAAACTTTGTGATTTAATTTTCCATGCCAGGCTGAGCTCTTCTGTTACCATTTTAGATAAAAAAGCTTAAGTAATATCTAAATGAATGTTTACATATTTAAAGTAACACTTAAATATTTAAATCAGCTTTCCCGATAGCTCAGTTGGTAAAGAATCCACCTGTAGTGCAGGAGACCCCGGTTTGATTACTGTGTTGGGAAGATCTGCCGGAGAAGGGATAGGCTACCCACTCCAATATTCTTGGGCTTCCCTTGTGGCTCAGGTTGTAAAGAATCTGCCTGCAGTGTGGGAGACCTGAGTTCAATCCTTGGGTTGGGAAGATCCCCTGGAGAAGGGAAAGGCTACCCACTCCAGTATTTAAAGAGGTAGAATCTGATTTAAACATCAAGCAAATCTTGTATTTTAGAAATTAGTGTTTTTTTAATAAAGTAGTTAGGAAATTAACTTTCATTGTGTTTCATAAGTTTCATTATCTCCATGCTTTATGAGATACTGTTGCTATTAAAAATGCCTTTACTCTGTACAGCAGTGATTGGGACAACATTGTAAATGATAAAAATACATTTACTTAGAACAGAGAAAATAAAAATAGTGACAATGCCAAATGCTGGTGAGAATGTGGAGAAACTAGATTTCTGATACAGCCATTCTGGAAAACAGTTTGGTAGTTTCTTATCAAACTAAAAATGCATTTACCATATAACCCAGCAATTGTCACTTATCCCAGAGAAATAAAAACTTATGGTCAAATCAAGACATACACATGGATGTGTATATAGAAGTTTTCTTTGTTAAAAATAAAAGTCAGAAACAACCTCGATGTCCTTCAATGACTGAACAGGCTGTGGTACATCCTTACCATGGAATAGTACTCACGAAAGAAAAGAATGAAGTATTGATCCATGCAACAACTTGGATGGACCTCAAGAGCATTATGCTGAATTTAAAAAGCGAATCTAAATAGGTCACATACTGCATGATTCTATTTCTATCATGTTCTCAAAAAGACAAATTACAGGTATGTGAAACATATTGCTATTAACCAAGGGTTAGAGACAGGGGTGAGTGCAACTATAAGGCAGCAGCATGAGGAAGTGCCTTACGGTGATGAAGCAGTTGTATGTCTTGTGTACTGTGGTAGTGAGTCTATGAATCTACACAGGTGATAAGTTTATATAGAACACACACACACGAGTGCAATTTCCTGGTTTTGATATCACACTGTAGTTGCCAATGTTTTGAACACTTTGGTAAATTGTTTATTTTTGTTTTATTGCACTATAGTTATATAGGATGATGACTGGAGAAAAACAAGTGAACGGTACTATTTTTGCCACTTTCTGTGTGTTTAGAATTACTTTCAAACAAAAAGTTACATGAAGAAACAAAAAATACATTTGCCCCCCTTTTAGGTTGTATCTGGTATTATGATATGATATCTGCTCACCTGGAAAGGAAAAGTAATAATCAAATGATTTCAAATTTCACTTCTTTTTTTTCTTTCTTCTTTTCTGTATTTCTTATTTGTTTTGCGGTGAGTATGTATTATTAACGTAATACAAATAATGAGGAGGTAAAGTAAACGTTGGACTACTAATGTCAGGGAGGATTGAGATGAAGGAGCAGCTGCTGAGATCGTGGTCACCAGAAAGACATCAGTGGCTGTATTTTTCAGTGTCATGTATAATACATACATAATGTATACTCAATAGGTGCCCCGTGATGGTTCACCAAATGAAAAATGAATATTCAAAGGATGCCAAACAGAAGTCAGAGCAGATGGAAAGAGGCTGGAAAGCCAACAGGTAGCAAATAGAATAACTTCCTCTTAAACCAGAGCTCATAACTGAAATCTGTTTTTAAGAAAAGGACTGATAATCTCCAAATGTGGAAGAAACCTAGATCAGAACTGTTTGTGTTCGTGCTCAGCCATGACTGACTCTTTGTGACCTCATGAACTGTAAGCCCCCAGGATCTTCTCCTCATGGGATTTTCCTGGCAAGGATACTGGGATGGGTTGCCATGCCCTCCTCCAAGGAATCTTCCTGCCAGGGATCAAACCTGCATCTCCTGCACCTTCTGTATTGCAGATGAATTCTTTACCACTGAGCCAACAGGGAAACTCAGGACTGTTTGGACCAGGCTTAAATACTAAACAAGGTCTCACTGGGTTCAGAGAATAAACCACTTAAACTGCTAATACTTCCTTGGATCTGGAGAGCCAACATTGTGTCAGGTAGGAAGGAAGCTTTGTTTTATGAAGAGCTGAGTGGGTGCATGCTGAAGTCCTGCGAGGCATAAGCATCATACCTTAGAGGAAAGACCAACAGCTCTAGGCTCAAAGAAAATTCCCTGTCTCGCAGAGC